AGAAAGAAAGAAAGAAAGAAAGAAAGAAAGAAAGAAAGAAAGAAAGAAAGAAAGAAAGAACAGCAACAAAGGGAAGTACTATGACATTTTCTAAATATTTACCACAGGGAGTTGACTATTCAGTGAGTAGAGTCAGGTCTGTCAGTGGATTCTCCTGACCCGCCCCCCCTACTTTCTCCCTTGATCTCCATCTCCAAAGCCAGGAGACCTTTACCTCCTAGGGTTGTCAGAGAAAATAGACATCTCTGAGATAACCCCAGTGAATGGTGTCTGATGATTCTGGCTCACAGACCACTGAGTGTACTCCTTCTCCCCAGATTTCTTTAAAATAGAGAAGCAACCAAAGACTTGTCTATAAAGACCAACTGAGTCAACACAAACTACTTTGAAGATAAAATACCTCTTTGCAAGTATTCTCTGGCCTACATTTCTGACTTCTAATATCTGCATGGTTCCAGAGTCTAGTATCCATGGACTTCCCTGCTAGGCCTCATCATAAAATAAAATTTCTCATCAGCTCACACAGCACAGTTATTTTCACTCCCAATCCTCCCAAGTCAATTGATAAATGGTAACCTGCAGGTCTGAGGTTATTAAAAAAAATCATGGATAATGAAGAAATGTATTTTATATCACTTCAAATCTCCCACTGGCTACATTTCCACCTTCTCAGACCTTGAGCTGAGAGTAACAGCTTGGGTTTAATTTTGAAATTTCAAACAAAACTCTTCAAAAGCAATTTGATGATTAAATTTAGATTAAAATAGGTATCTTATAGTCCCCAAAGTTCCCTAAAGTCCTCCCCCAGAAATATCACATGATTATTTGTCTTAAGATTTACAATGTCTCCAAATAGTAGTGTGCACACCTTTTACGTAAAAATGTGTACATCTGTATACCCAACTAGCAAGAGGAGATTAGACACTAAATTTAGCATTTAACATTAGTGAAAGTCTCCTCTCCTGCCTGTCCCCAATACCTTTTCTTTTTTTAGATTTCACTATGGTGAACGTATCGGATATTAAAATATGTCCTTTCGTAAGTTCTCCAGAAAGGAAAGAAAATCTCAATAGTTTGGTTAGGCAAAACTTCAGGAGATACACCATACTGGCAGAGACGGAGAAAAGAAAGAGGAAAGAAATGGGCTAGAATGATAAGAAGTACAGAAGACATAAAAAGGACCAGCCAGGTCTCACCTTTAAGCAAGCAACTACACAAATAGAAGGGTGGACTCAATGACCTCCAAGGTCCCCTCCAACTCCAGTCGTGTCTGCCTCATGAATTTTTTATAGTCATCCTCTGTCCTATCACACTGTCCCTATGCATCATCAAGCCCTCCTGGCCACTTCTAGAACTGAAAGGAAATTTGTTTAAAAAAAAAAAAATCCATGCTTTGACTACTGCCAAAATTACAATTCCGTCCTTGAAACAATGACCTGAAAATAATGGGCAAGGCTAAAAACCTCTGAGCCAATAAGTGCCCAGTACTGTCTTCAGGCAATATTTTTTAAGCTTCTCCGATATAAACAAAATTATTACCTGAGGTCCTGGGAGCAGCTAAAAGACAATGCTACACCCAAGTCTTTCCAAGCTGCACTTCCATATCCCCTGCTGAGTGTCTAACCTCAAAAAGACAGTGGAACCAAACAGCTGAGCTTGAATACTGGCCCCATCTCTTATCAGCTGTGTGATGTGAGGCAAGTTATTTAGTTCCCTGAACCTGTTTCCTTGCTTAAAATGCTGATGATATGAGCTAACTTGCAGAGTTACTGTGACAATAGGAAAATATAAAAAAAAAAACTCTGACCACTCATTTATTCATTAAACCAACATTAACTGAGGATCCACTACCAGTCAGGCACCAAGTTAGGCACTGGTAGGTAAAAGACAGAACAAATGAAATCTATTGTTATTTTTATTTACTAAAAAAAAATCTGTTTCCAGAACTGTGGCAGACTGTCTGACTTCAGTTCAAAACTTTCATTCACACCTTGTTTCCTTAAAAATAGTCATTTTTATTTTGCCAAATATGATTCCAGATGGGAATCTGCCCTCTGCCGTGCCTTTCCCCCCAAAGTTAATTATCCAGCAGGTATTCTGCTATAAGACACCTTTGAGACACTTGAAAGAAGCAACAACAGGAGTGAAAGGTTGTATCCCAGCTCTCTGCTGGGCAGGTCACTCGGGAAAACTTGATATGCCTGTGCTCCGAGACCCAGCCTGAATGCCTGAGAGTTTTTGGGTGCTTTCAATTCCATGAGCGGACTCTGAGTCTTCCGAGAACTCAAGATTACAGGACTTGCTCATCCCCAGACACTGCCACTGGGCCACTGATAAAACTTATAGCAAGAGCTAAAGGATCACATTTTCATAATATAGGGTTTATGTCTTTTAACTGTGCTTTAACTCAAGAGTTTAATGAAGTTCTGTATAGATGACCCACCTAAGGAACCGGCTCGCTTCAAGGCTGGTAGGCTCTTCTTCAATGTAAGCTTAATTCTCCTTTTGCTAGCTACCCTGAAAGCCTCCTGGGAAGCACCAGCCTCCACCAGGTTGGGTGCTGGCTATCCAGTACACATTAACAAACGTTTTGTACTTAAAATGGAGTTATCAATGGCATTCTGGAACCCAGGACTCACTGCAAGAATAAAAGTATGATCCTAGTATAGGAGAGGACCTGCCCTGGATCATAATGTAGGGAGTGGCCAAAGAGTGATTTCTAGAATAAAATTCAGAATCATCTGTGAAACTATGGATAAGTTAGTGGGCAGTATAGATGTGCCTAGAATATTTTATGTGCAGACTCCTCTCATTCACCTAAGAAATTTAAGTATACTTCGTGACTGCCGCAGGCATGGGTTTGGCACCGCTGACTCCTAACTGGAGGTGACAGCCTACGCCTCCCCACAAAAGTTCTCAGCACAAAAAGACTGTCACTATATTCTCCCACCCCATCCCCCAATAGGATGCATCTAAAATTTTACAAAAAGAAAAAAAAAAAACAGTGGCTTCTTTACGTTTTCCTTCAGCGTATTAAACTTGTTATTATTAACTCCTGGCACCTCTAATTGCTCACTGAAAACAGTGGTTTAGATATTAATAGTCTATAAATCAAGGCCCTACCTAAGACTTGTTGTCAAGGCAACAGTGCTCAAGCCCTTCAGCTACTTCCCCCACTTTGGAACTCAGGGTGAGTTGGTGGGAGTTGGGGATTGTGTGAAAGGTCTTGTAATTTCTCCACTTTCTGCTATTTCTTGGGGCCAAGTTGTCAGAGGAGGAAGAACGTGGAGGGTATCGTGGACTGTGCAAGCCTAGAGAATAGGAACTCTTACGGGGAGAAAGGGTAGGGATCTTTAAAGTATGACTCCGGGCACTCAGATCTTTTTTCTGTTCGCGTCCTGCCCCCACGACTCGCCTAGTGGTGCCCAGCGCCTGGGGACCCGGCCCCCTCTGCTGCCCTGCCCTGTCCTCCCCGCCTGGGCGCAGAGCGGCCCGGGAACACGCAGCCAAGTTCCAAGAGAGGACCTGAGCGGCCCCAAGGCTGTGAAGCCGGACAGTGGGAGACAGTGGGAGCAGGGCGGAGGTCGGATCCCCTTTGCTCCCAGGCCGGGGTCCTGGAGGAGGAAGCCATGAGGGCTCACCCCTTCACCTCCCTCCCAGCGTCCCCAAGTGACTCTCTAGGAGCCGCCTCTCCAAACCTGGCGCCCAGCTCGCCAAGCGCCTCAGAAGCCCACACAGGTTCCCGCGTCCCGGGATGACTGCTGTCGTAGCCGCCAGGGCCTCCAGGGCCCTGCACCCGACCCACTCCACGCCTGACACCTGGGACAGGGCTCCCCCCTTGATCCCCTGGGCCCTGCGCTCGCACCGCGCGCCCCAGCCTTGCGCACCCGCACCCAGCTCCCTCCGGCCACTGGGCCCTCTTGGGACTCACCTGCGCTGGGGCTGAAGCCGCGGCCACCCCGAGCCTGGGGGCGGCGGCGGCGCAGGGGGAGGAGGGCAGCGCGGGGCTCCTGGCACAGCGGCCGCCGGGCGCCTGGTGCTGCGGAGCCACGGACCCGCCCAGAGATATAAATAACATTATCTGAGGAGGGACATTCCTGCCGGGGGACATCGCTGCTGCCGGGACCAGATAGTCCCGCGGCGGGGGCGGGGAGGCGGGGCCGCAGCCTCCTGCAGCGCCAGGCCCAACCCCCGCTTCCCCACCCACTCCTGCACCTGCCAATCAGCCTCCGAGCCCGGGGGCACCTGCCGGGCCTCCACCGGCTGCCGGGGCCGGCCTCTGCCTTCCAGCCTTCCGCTCGGACCCCGGGCGCCCCCACCATCGCTCTTGTCCCCTAATCCCGCACTACCCCGTGCCCCCTGCAGCGGGAAGACAGCTTGACTCTGCAGCTCCGGCCTAATTCGTGCGCCCAGAGCGGCGAGCCTGTTGGCAAAAATGAGTCCTTCAGCTTTTCCCGCCCTGCATCCCCACTGCATACAGTCCGGTTTTTAAAATACATTAAAAGACACTCTTAGGACAGAGGGTGGGCAAGGCAGGCGCCTGGGCAGTGCGCCCCCATCGCGGCGGGTTTGGGAGAGACAGATTGTTACTGGGGGCTGGTGCGTTAGAAAGCGTGCTCCCGGGCGGGGTCCTCCCGGCCGGTGGCAAGAGCAGACGCTGGGAGCGCAGGGGGTGGGCACTGGGCCCAAGGCACCCGCCCCCAGCCTGCCGGCTCGGTGTTACTGTTTCTGCCTACATATCCAGTGCAATCCGGGAGAACCGGGCATTGCTGGCGGCGCACAGCCTGCAGTCCCCTGGCGATCGCATATTGCACGCACCATAATCAACAGGCAAGCCGCCACACCCGCCCACCTGCACCTCTTGGTCTGCCCAGGTCTCGAACCCTTGGGGGCTTCCTCACTGCAAGTCTGGATAAGGTGGGATACTGTAGGCCAGAGTAAACACTAAAACCAATTGTGCCAAAGAGGAACAACAAGGCACCTCCAGGTCACCTCGGGAGAGAGACACAGAAAAATACTGGCAGCTTGCAAGGCAGTCCATTTTCTTGACTTTCTCACAGCACAAGGTCATTGTTCAGTAAGGTTTGTTTTACACCTTGCTCTAGCTTTCATCTCTCTTCTCTACCTGCTGTGCCTAGAATGATTTCTCATCAGCCATCAACCCAGATAATCTCAGGTATTATGGAGATGGCAGTGGAGATTAAAAGAGCAGAGATGTGGAAGAGAATTTTAACTTTGTTGCTGCCTGGTATTCTTAACAAAGGAACAGCCTTACTCTTGAGTTATTTATTTGAGAGTATAATTATGCTGTTTTCCAGAATTCATCAGGGAAAGGGTGTTCAATTGCCAGATGTTCAAGCTTAGTTTATATATTGAATGTATGCAAAGATAGTTCACTGCTGCAGCAACACTTCTTGAGAGTAGGGATTTGGACACTAAATGCTAAATGGGGCAAATTTGACAGGTATTACAAAGCCACAGGACCCTTCATTCCATCCCCTCTTGTCTGGGACCTTATTACTGCTCAATTTCCCAAGAGACTCTAGTAATATAGGAAAAATGATACAAGAATAGTCATGGTCATCCATTAGATTAGCAGTCATGCTCTCCCCACTTTGCTGATAACATTTATGAATCCATTTGTAGGGGCTGGGAATGTAGCTCAGCATGCTGAGGCCTCTGGTTCAATCCCCAGCACAAGGAAAAGAACAGAAAAAGAATCGTTTGTTTATTATGAGTTAGAAACAGGTTTCTTTTGTGGAAAAAAAATTCTTTAAAAACCATTTTCTGGCAAGGAAACTCAAGAAAAACAGGCCAACTTCAAAAGCCGAGACTGTTATGTAGCTCAAGTAGAAATCCTTGATCTATTTTTGAAAGGGAAAAAAAGAGGGAAATTATGTATTTATGTTTTTCTTTAAAAACTTGTATGAATAAACTTATTAAATAAATTCATGATGCCTTAGAATTGCAGCTCTGCAGTACATAATTATATACTACCCCAAAGAGATAATTCCTTAGCTATAGGTTTGTGGCGCTTAACTGAATAGTTGCATACATATTTTTCTTTGTATTCTTAAAATTTATAATTTTCAACCATAAGAAAAAAAATAATATGATAAAAGCTCCAAAGCAGCAGACAGATTACCCCAAGATTTTACAAACCAGCTCAGCTGCTTTAGTTATCTCCACTTTAGCTGAAAGCTAAATAATTCAATACAACCTCATTTGCTACAGATCCTGTTATCCTGACAGCATCCTCAAATGCTTTATGGCTAATAGAGTTACAGTGAAATGATAAATCAGAACTGAGGAAGAGAGGAAGTTTAGAAGTACAGAGGGGAAGGACATTGTCAAATAAGGGAGGAAAAAAGGCAGATCTCAGAGTGCAGGAATGAGAAATTAGGGAGAGTTAAGGAGGTAGAAGGAAAGGTAGATAAAAGGATTCATTGTTGAGGTCATCATTGTGGACAATAGGGGGTCAAGCCTGCAGGGTCCTGCTCAGAGATGTTTAGAATGTCTCTCAGAATTATCTATGTGCAGGGTGGAAAATTGGTCCTCATCCTGTTGGTCGAGAAGCTTGTCCTGCCGACGTCTCTGTCCATGTTTTCAACCTCCTCCATCCACCCTAGGCAATCTGCGGCACTGGGAGAGTTCTGGAACCAAAAGAGGAGGTTATACATTGGAGGTTACAGTAAATGCTATGATCCAAGGAGTGGGGGAAGCCCTTACAGAACTGTCTACCCAACTGTAGTTGAAATCAATAGGTGAGGCCAAGAGCATATAAATTGGAACACTAGAGACTTCTAACATGGGAAGGAACTTTCATTAGCTATTTCCATATTCTCTGAAATTTTCACCAGGAGCTTGTATTATTTGGAGAGACATAAATAGAGACAATAAAGGAAACTATAGCTGAAGGTTGGGTGGAGATGGTGGATTGAATACGAGAATTGAGTTTCTCTTCCACTCTAAACTACATAAAAAGATATGTTTTAAAGAGAATAGGAATCTAAAATCATAGGGAAATAAGGGAAAAGGTGATACTTCTTTTCAATATTTAGGAAATACTGAAATATAGAAAAAAGGCAGACTCTGATTCACAGAGGAAATCAGAAGAAACAAAAACAGGTTCAAGCTGGGTGCAGCGACACATGCCTGTAATCCCAGCAACTCAGGAGCTAAGGCAGGAGGAACATAAATTCAAAGCTAGCCTTAGCAATTTAGCAAGACCTTGTCTCAAAATAAAAAATAAAACGGGCTGGGAATATGGCTCAGTAATTAAGTATCTCTAAATTCAATCCCCAGTAACAAAACAAAACAAAAACAAGTTCAGAAGAAGCATTTAAGGAAATTTTAGGCAACAGCCAAAGGATACAGAAAGAGAGGGTCCTGGGACAGAATAATTCATTGACCAGACTCCTTTCCCTTGCTTCCATTAAATATCAGGGGTTTGCCCATGGAATAAGAAGGTAGGTGGAATTATGGGACACAAAGAACAGAGCCCAAATATCTACTCACTATCAGAAATGAACCTTCAGTGTTTCAGGATAGCATGTCCCAATGCTCCACAGTCCTTGAGTACAGGCTATGATAAACTGAATGACTAGGCAAACCTATTCTCACATAAGAGATGACTGGATCATCAAAATCACCAGGAGGGAGGAGGGAGACCAATACTATGAAAGAGAAGCACCAAACAACTAATAGAAATAACATCAGAGGAAACCAAGTTAAATAAAGGAAATAAGATAAGTGATAAATGATACATTTTATTCAGTGAGGTTTGAAAGGCTATTTCATCCATGAGAAAAAAAATAAGTGAGACGTTTTAGATGCTAAGAAAAAGTTCTGATACTAAAAATTCATTAGTTGATATACAGAACAGACCAAGTTACTGAGTGGATTAGTGAAAACAGAAGCCAAAAAATCTTCCCAAAATGCAGGGCAAAAGACAAGAAGATTAGAAACTCTTTCTTTCTTTCTTTTTAATATTTTATTATTTTTTGGTGGCCCTCTATTTATTTTTTTTAATGTGGTGCTGAGAATTGAATCCAGTGCCTCATATATGCTAGGCAAGTGCTTTACCACTGAGCCACAACCCCAGCCCTCTTAAAAATGGTTGAAATGGAGGTGAGCTTTCCAAGGTCCAATATCTGTCTAATAGAAATTACAGAAGGAAAGAAAAGAGAATGGAGAGAGAAAATAAGAAGAAAGAAGAATAAAATTTTTCAGAGTTGAAGAAAAATATGAAGTTTCAGATTATAAAATCCTACTGAATTTAGAGCATAATAAAGATTTTTAAATATAATTTGCAGGTTTATGAACAGCTTGAAGTTTATTATTTTATTTATAAAATTTAGGATCTTGAATAAAATTAAATCATAAATCAAAACTGTAATGAACTAGACTAACACTGTGCCATAAGTACAACTGATTCTAAAATAAATAAATAAATAAAACTATCTTTACTGAATCACAGAACCAAAGCCATTTATTTGAAGTAAATAAATAAACCACTTTAAATTACAAACATGAATATTAGAAAGCCACTTTAAAACATAAATAGCAAACCAAACTTGAACAATTCAAATCCCTGCTAATGACAATGAAGGAATCGAGAACTCAAGACACTAGCATATGCAAGGCCCAGGAGTCCATGCCCACCATTGCAAAAACAAAACAACAAAACCTCATAATACACAAAAAGCATTAAAATAATACACATTAGTTTCTTCTTCTTTATTCTTTGCCCAAGAAACATTTCATGTTAAGTTGACGTTTCCATCATCTAGGGGCATTATATTCTCCATAGTTTTCAAAGGTCAAGAAGCAGTAAATTGGGGCTGGGATTGTGTGGCTCAGCAGTAGAGCGCTCGCCTAGCATGGGTGGGACCCAGGTTCGATCCTCAGCACCACATAAAAATAAAGGCATTGTGTTGTGTCCATCTACACCTAAAAAATAAATATTAAAAAAAAAAAAGAAGAAGCAGTAAATTGGTGCCAGGCATGGCGGTGCACGCCTGTAATCCCAGCAGCTCCGGAGGCTGAGGCAGGAGGATTTTGAATCCAAAGCCAGCCTCAGCAATTTAGCAAGGCCCTAAGCAACTCAGTGAGACCCTGTCTCTAAATAAAATTTAAAAAAGGTCTGGGGATGTG